TATTTAATAACCACATGATTAGAAGAAGCATTTCATTGCAGTTTTAACATACTCAATAATAATTTCCAGAGCAAGGATACACCTCTTTCAAAAGTGGCTGTAAATTTTTAGGTTCACAGTTGACTTAATACAGTTATACAATATTGAACTCAGTATAAACCCTTTAAATAATCTTAAAGCCAGAAAAATTACTGAATGCTTCCAAAATTGATAGGTTCAGAACCAGTGGGAAAATATTTCTATTTTGGAAAGAACAATGTTTTTTCCCCCTTCACTGTCAGAGGTCTCTGTAATTTGAGAAATAATATGTTACTTGTATAGAGAATTTAACCATTTAATGATAGGCACTGTTTTTGAGGGTTTTCTTCTTAGGAACTCAACCTGCTTCCCATGTAGTCTTCTTATCCTTAAATCAATTCTGCAGAGTAACTTGCAATCTGCTACCCTGTCTTGCTGCATTGACCAAATGGTGTTTTAATGCTACTGGGATTGTTTGGTTACACTAAGGAGCTAAACCAATTCTGGAGGCTTTAGAGATTTAAAAAAAAAAAAAGTTAAAGTTAAAAACATTTAAAGCCAAAGTACATTTTTTTTTCAAATTGCATATGTTTATGTTAGCTGTCGTCATCTTTTTAAAAAGTATGCAGCAGTAATAAGAGACAGGCAATACCTCTGTCTCAAAGTCTGCTTGCTCGTTGTTATCTGTCAACATGAAAATTTCATGGAATTTTTAGGATCTGAAAATTTTTCACTAAATTGGAAAGATGTGTGCATGATGTGTATGTTGTTTTAATTGGTTTCAAACCATGTTCATTGCCCCCATCCTTCTACACACCCCAGTAAATTAAATAGAGTTTTGCCCTATGTGTTTCAAAGATCATCTAAAATGTTTAAAAGTGGCAACTTTCCTATTTGTGGAAGGACATTTCCAGAAGTAGTTTACAGGGATGGGGAGAAAACTCAGTCAATATACGGTTTGACTTGCAAGCCTGGTGACCTGAGTTCCATTCCCAGAATCTACATTAAGAAAAAGGTGGATGACACCTGAGGAATGATACCCAAGATTGTCCTCTGGTCTACACACACACACACACACACACACACACACAAACATGCACACACATAAACACTTTGCCTTCTACCTAGAGACCAGAAGCTTCCAGAGCTTTTGGAGATGAGGAAGCAAAGGTCAGGGAACCGAGTGATTTGCACAAGGTTGCCTAACCTAGAAGAGATGCAAGGGAAAGAATACCTAAACCTGGGCTCTGACCTGAGGACCCATCATTGTTGCCCTCTACCATATGCTCAGATGGAAAAATGCCTGCTGTCTTTTAGGTTTTTATTCTAAGTTTTATTAATATTATATTGTGTGTTGTGTGACATACTTTTTCTGTTGTTGTGATAAAATATCACGACCAAGGCAACTAACAGAAAAAAGAGTGTACTGGGGTTTATGTTTCCAGAGAGGTAAGAGTCCCTCATGGTGGGAGACATGGCAGGAGGCAGCTGGAGCAGAAAACTGAGCACTCACATCTTCAAGCAGCACAGGAAGCAGAGAAACTGGAAGTGGGACATGGTATTGAACTCTCAAAGCCCACCTCCAGTGACACACCTCCTCCAGCATGGTCACACCTCCTAAAGGTTGCATGACCCTCCCGTAACAGCACCACAAACTGGGGACCAAGTGTTCAAATACTTAGAGCCTATGGGGTCATAATCATTCAAACCACCACATGTGTGTTTATGTATGATGTGTGAATGTGAGCGGGGATATACACATGCTATAGGACATGTGTGGATGTCAGAGGATAGGTTTCAGGAGTCAGTTTTGTCCTTCCACTGTGGGTCTGAGGGATTGAAGTTAGGCCATCAGGCTTGTGCAGCAAGTGCTTTAGTCCATGGGACCATCTTGATGGTCCCCTCCCTTTGTTAATAACACAGAAAACTTAGACAAACATGCACACATACACACAAGGACCATGATGCCATGAGACCCTTGGTTATCACTCTCAGTTCTTCTATGGGATGAAAATCAAACCAACCACCTGGTAACTATAGCTGCCAATGTCAATCCAGGACGTCCATGAAGAACTTGACTATCAACTTCCTGACTTGGGCAACCTGGCCCCAAACTGTGTGCTGTCAGATGTGAAAGAATGAATAAAGCTGTAGCCCTACCCTCTCAGTCCCTCTGCAGCAAAGAACATCACAGCTTCAACCAAGGCTCATTCTTATTTTTTTTCCACATTACCATCTTAAGTCTATTTGAATATTTCTAGCAAGTTACTGCATTCCTACCACCCCTAAAAAGCATTTTCTGAAAATATGTTTTAGTTTAAGTAGATGAGTGGTTTGGCAAACAAAAGACTGAATATGACCCAATGAGTCAAATTTAAACCCAGGGCCTGAAATTAAGGGCATATTGGTGCCAAGCCCCAGTGGGTTGTGATGTGCATAATAGCCTGGCCCTTCATACAGTTTCCTCAGTCACAGTGACCTTGGATTAATTTGGTGTTGCACATACTTGGTGGTCTTCTGAGATGGAGGGTAGCCTCAGCCATCAGGGTGTTAAAACTTGTGGTATCTGAAGGGAAAGAGGCCAGGAGCAACAAGTCAACAGCAGAGGCGTGACCCTATCTTGAAATGACTCTCAGAAATGACTGTGCATTGTCATGTTTTTGTATTTTTCTACCTGACTTCTTTTCTTATCCCACCTAAAAGAAGAATAGG